AAAAAAAAAAAAAAAAAAAAAAAAAAAAAAAGCGTGTATAGTATCTTGCTCTACACATCCATACAACACAGATACTAGAGAAGAATCTTATGCTCGTGACATACAGCATACAACACACTTTGAGGGTTCCACGTGCCACCCTCAAGTATAGATTTACGACGGTGCGACCCTATTCAGGAGGCCTGACGCCGTATTCACATTAACTAGGGGCACTCATCATGAGTCTACGACCTGTGTAGTCCCAAGTTCGTTTCATGATCGGTTTATAGAATTGCGGTTTTAGTCTTTATCCCATCCTACACTTAATTGGAGCACTCACCCTAAGTCATCTACCAGTGTAACCCCAAATCTTTTACAATGCTAGTTTACGAAATCGTAACTTCTTCCTTACCCGTTTGTACACTCAATAGAAGTTCTCATCTCGAGCTAACTACTCATGTAATCTCAAGTCCTTCTTCAAGATCAGTTTACATGATTGCATCGTCGGCCTTGACTTGACCCTACACTCAATAATAGCTCAAGTGACTTCGGGATTCTGATGATATTGTTCATATTATTGTTAAGCTTGTTAAGCTTTCTTAATCATTCTTAGATCTCGTGGAGGTTTATTAGGTCCTTGGGGGCATCTAGGTGATTTAGTTCTCATCTCGCATTTACAGGATGCTTAGGGTTAGCTCCTCGGGGCTCATCCAATCTCTGGGTGCACTCAAGTCCAGACATATGATTGCTACTCATAATCTTATAGTGCTCGATCTATTAGAAATGTATTGGCCTAGGTCAACATGTAAACCGCTCTAGCCCTAGTGCCCTAATCTTAGCTTGGTTCACTCATGCATACTTTCTTAGGGAGATATTTCTATCAATCACCTAAACCACAAAAAACATAATCTACTCATTCATGCATGCTTATTAGGCAAATATTCATATCAAACAAACTCAATGGAGAAATAACACCCATTAGTCACCCATACCACATATCATAGAATCTTATCCTAAATTCTAGCACAACGGAAAACATAAAAATTGGTATGCATCATAAATTCTCATCCTAGGGGTATTTCGTTAATTTTCCATAACATATATAACATTTTAATCCAAAAAGCCCTTCTAGAGTCCTAAACATGCATAATCTACCACCTAATGCAAGATATGCTCGCATGCTAGTATGTCCTTGGGCAAGCATTACTTGAGAAAAGTAAGAACGATTATTTATATGGATGACGCATGCCTTGCCGAGCTAGCTTTTCCTTGTGCTAGGAGCTTCAAATTTTTAAAAATTTCTCTAGTATAACCTAATTCAAAACATAATGAGATTAACATCGAAATCGGAGAAGAACAGTCGAATAGAGGCCAAAACATGTAAAAATTGGAACGATACAGAGGTGATTAGCATGGCCCCTACAGAAGGATGACAAACACCAATCAAGAAATGGTCCAAATTTTTTTTATAAATCAGAGTGGTGCAGTGGAAGCGTGGTTGGCCAACCTATGTGATCGAAACCTGACTCTGATATCAATCGTAATACCCTTATTTATGTGTTACTTACATTGTTGATGTCCACACATGCATGTCTTATGTACATACGTGGAAAATTGAAATAAACACAACGTACCCTTATTTATGTGTGGCTCACTTTGTTTGTTGTCACGTATCGTCCAATAGCGCGAGCAGCCCTTCAGCTCGATTTCCACCATTTCGATCCTCTCGGACTTGTTTTCGGCCTCGATTATTATTAATTTAATTGTGAGAGATGGAAAATGGTGTGAGGAAACAAAATCCCAACAACTACGTCCAACAGCGTGAGCAGCCCTTCAGCTCGACTAGGCTTTAGCCTAGTTTCCACCATTTCGACCCTCTCGGACCTGTTTTCGACCTCGATTATTATTAATTTAATTGTGAGAGATGGCAAATGGTGTGAGGAAACAAAACCCCAGCAACTACGTCCAACAGCACGAGTAGCCCTTCAGCTCGACTAGGCTTTAGCCCAGTTTCCACCATTTCGATCCTCTCGAACTTGTTTTCGGCCTCGATTATTATTCATTTAATTGTGAGAGATGGAAAATGGTGTGAGGAAACAAAACCCCAGCAACTATGTCCAACAGCGTGAGCAGCCCTTCAGCTCGACTAGGCTTTAGCCCAGTTTCCACCATTTCGACCCTCTCGGACCTGTTTTCGGCCTCGATTATTATTAATTTAATTGTGAGAGATGGCAAATGGTGTGAGGAAACAAAACCCCAGCAACGTTGGAAGCAGCTCTCGAGGAATGGGAGCTTACGTTTAGCTAATTAGGAAGTACTTCAGCTCGACTCAGTGAAAACGGCTTACAACAACGCTTCGGCAGCTTTACGACTGTTTTGGCTCGGCTCACTAGTTTTCAGCACAGTTTCCACCATTTTAACCCTCCTGGACCCGTTTTTGGCCCCGATTAAGGTAATTGAGGTCAATTTAGAGCCATATTTCACGTTTATTAAATTATTATTAATTTAATTGTGAAACACTAATGAAAGGTAGCGAATGGTGAGATAGGAAACAAAACTCCGGCAACGTTGGAAATAGCTCTCAAGGAACGGGAGCTTACATTTAGTTAGTTAGGGAGTACTTCAGCTAAGGCCAACCAAGTAAGTGACCTTACTATAGGAAATACTACAATTGTTTGCTTTATAGTTTTATTTACGAGCATGATGATGTATGAGTATGATGATGTATGATGTTTATGATGATGTATGAGTATGATGCTTGAGTTGTGATGCATGTATGTACGTGATTTATGTTCCGATACATGACGTACATATTACGTTTGATGCGTTTGATGGCTTATTATTGATGAATATGATACCCTTGATGGCTTATTATTGATGAGTATGATATTTTATGACATTTACTTAATATGATGATATTTTTCATATTGAGCATGCTATATGATGATGATTGTCCATACTATTGTTAAGCTTGTTATGCTTTCTTAATCATTCTTAGATGTCATGGAGGCTTATTAGGTCCTTAGGGTCATCTAGGTGATTTAGTCCTCATCTCGCATTTTTTATGATGCTTGGGGTTAGCTCCTTGGGGGCTAACCCAATCTCTGGGTACACTTAAGTCTAGACATATGATCGCTACTCATAATCCTAGGGTGTTCGATCTATTAGAAATGTACTGGCCTAGGTCTACATGTAAACCGCTCTAGCTCAAGGGACCTAATCTTAGTCTGGCTCACTCATGCATAATTTGTTAGGGAGATATTTCTATCAATCACCTCAAACACGAAAAACATAATCTACTCATTCATGCATGCTTATTAGGGAGATGTTCCTATCAACGAGCAAGAAAATCATAATCTAAACATTTATGCAAACTCAATGGGGTAAATAACACCCATTAGTCATCCAGACCACATATCATAATATCTTATCCTCCATTCTAGCACAACGGAAAAAATAAAAATCGGTATGCATCATACACTCTCATCATAGAGTATTTTATTAATTTTCCTTAACATATATATATATATAGTAGTTTCATCCAAGATATGCTCGCATGCTATTATGTCCTTACGCAGGCATTACTTGATAAAAGTCAGAATCACTATTTATATGGATGACGCATGCCTTGCTGAGCAAGCTTTTTCTTGTGTTACCAGCTTCAAATTTTCTAAAATTTCTCTAGTATAACCTAATTCAAATCATAATAAGGTCAACATCAAAATCGGAGAAAAACAATCAGATAGAGGTTAAAATGGGTAATAATTGGAACGATACAGAGAAGATTAGCATGACCCCTGCAAAAGGATGACACACACAAATCAAGAAATGGTCCAAATTTTTTGTATATCAGAGTGGCGCAGCGGAAGCGTGGTGGGCCCATAACCCACAGGTCCCAGGATCGAAACCTGGCTCTGATATGATGCACAATCCCAAGACATGATTTTGAAAGTTATGATATAAAATCATATGATATGAAGGAAAATAGGAAGAGAACCCCAATAATGGGGTCACTTAAAAAATAGGAAGAGAACCCCAATAATGGGGTCACTTAAAATACTCAGAAGTGTTACTTCTTCTACCCACCCATTTTAGGTAAAGGGTGCACGGTTGACGACCACATCACAAGTAAAGACCTAAAAAGGTGCACAGGGTGCACGGTTGACGACCACATCACAAGTAAAGACCTAAAAAGGTGCACAGGGTGCACGGTTGACGACCACATCACAAGTAAAGACCTATCACAAGTAAAGACCTAAAAAGGTGCACAGGGTGCACGGTTGACGACCACGTCACAAGTAAAGACCTATCACAAGTAAAGACCTAAAAAGGTGCACAGGGTGCACGGTTGACGACCACGTCACAAGTAAAGACCTATCACAAGTAAAGACCTAAAAAGGTGCACAGGGTGCACGGTTGACGACCATGTCACAAGTAAAGACCTATCACAAGTAAAGACCTAAAAAGGTGACGACCACGTCACAAGTAAAGACCTATCACAAGTAAAGACCTAAAAAGGTGACGACCACGTCACAAGTAAAGACCTATCACAAGTAAAGACCTAAAAAGGTGCACAGGGTGCACGGTTGACGACCACGTCACAAGTAAAGACCTATCACAAGTAAAGACCTAAAAAGGTGCACAGGGTGCACGGTTGACGACCACGTCACAAGTAAAGACCTATCACAAGTAAAGACTTAAAAAGGTGCACAGGGTGCACGGTTGACGACCACGTCACAAGTAAAGACCTATCACAAGTAAAGACCTAAAAAGGTGCACAGGGTGCACGGTTGACGACCACGTCACAAGTAAAGACCTATCACAAGTAAAGACCTAAAAAGGTGCACAGGGTGCACGGTTGACGACCACATCACAAGTAAAGACCTAAAAAGGTGCACAGGGTGCACGGTTGACGACCACATCATAGGGTAGATTGTATTTAAATTTCTTAAACTTTAGGTTATTATAGGACGCATAGGACGCGGTTATATTTAATATTTACCTTGGTTTATTTAATATTTCTTTTGTATTGTTTTAAAGACTTTTTCTTAAACATGTAAGTTCATAATGTTGTTTTAATTGATTATTTCCACATAACAAGTTACGTTATATATACGGATTGATTATTTCCACATAACAAGTTACGTTATATATACGGTAGTGACTTTAGATTAGCTTCCATTTTCGTGGACTTATCCTAAATTATCAGCTTCCAAAGTCGGTGGAATACTTAATTTTTCGCCGAAGCATACCTAGAGGGACATGATATTGGGTAGGATTATTGTTGCATGTTAAAGCCACGATTTTTTTTACAAAAATTCTTCCTTATACTCCTCTCAAACTAAAGGAATTAATTTGGGAGGACGACTTTATGTAAGTTTGGCCACTATTGTCTTCCAACCTTCGGTCTGCAACTAAACCCAAAACTTAGAGTTTGATCCTCCTGGAAAGCTTGATCTCGAATGAATTATCCCTCAATTCCTTCGTCAATAGAGCAGTTTATTTAGTTCCATAAGTCTAACAAAACCTCAATTTTAAATAAAATGGACTAGAAATAAGAGTTTGAGTTTTACCCCAAAACTTATAAGGGAGTTATTACCCTTCAAGGTCTTCTATGGAAATGTTTCTTGGAGGTGCAGAAACCGATCGGAATATGTCTCACACGAAGAATTAGTTTTAGAATCGAATTGAATTTTTTAAGCTCCTGTCGATTCCTTCAATAGTGGACCAAATTTGGAAAATAGGTTTTGGGCATTTTTGCCCCTTCTTTCCTTCACCAAAATTGTGGTTAATCTTGTTTAGAAGGTATAGTAACCAGTTTGAACAGAAATTGTGGGCTTTAGCTCTCGAATTTGGTAGGAACATGAGAGCTCAAAACCCAAAAAATGAAAAGTTTATAACTCGTGATTGAAGGCTCTTTGTTGCTTGCTTCTTGCTCCTAATGAAGGGACATTGTTCATAATTTAGGAGAAAGAATCCACCGTTTTTGAAACATCTAGAACCATCATGATATCACAGTTGATCCTTTTGGATTTTTTTGCTAGAAAATTCTGTGCCGATCAAAGATTTGTTGAATCTCGTTGTATGAGATGACCTGTGAACGTTCTAGATCATAGCCAATTTAGAGGGAGATCCAACCGTTAGATTTCAAGAGACCGAATTATGTGCATAAGGGTACTATGGAAGATCTAATTTGGTCAGCAGTGATTCTTTTAAACTCTATAAATAAGGTAATTTACACTTTCTCAATATTTTAATATTATTTTTTTCCAATAATCTAAATTTTTTTTTTTATAAAATTCGTTACCTCTTGTTAGTCATCTTCTCATGAAATTCTTACCACAGAGAATTAAAATTCCGAGAAATTTGGTTAAAAAAAAAAAAAAAAAAAAAAAAAAAAAAAAAAAAAAAAAAAA